CACGCGTAGGTAAAACGTTAAGACGAGGGATAATAACACATAATCCGTGTATATACACATAGGTATTAAAACAACAATGACGTCGTATAACGTTCGGGATTTGCCGGAAAGCCGCAAGATGGACGACCGAAATCTGTGTGTGACCGTACAGCAATAAGTGCCTACCTCGTGCAATATAAATTATACATACATTTCATATGATATTATAACATTATTACTATCAGACGCGACGTTTGAAACCGGCATCGTGTTATATTATATAGGCGTGTATAATAATTATAATAATATAATACGATGAAATAATTTATAATACCTCCGACTCGTCCCCCACCCTCCGACCTCGTAAATCGGACAAATCGCGGGCGCGCCACACATACGTTCTGTTTCAGTTTAAATATAAACATACCTTACCACACACACACACAAACACATTAATGACCCTCTCTACCTGGTGGTTTCGATAAATCTGACGATTACCGCTCGACGACCCTGCGCCAAGAATTTTGAAAAAATTTCCTTAAAAAAACAAAATGCGACCGCGACGGGAAACCAAACAAACCGACTTCAATAGATAATTGTGTGAAATGAGATGCTCTTTTGGGCACGTCGCCGCATACGTGTGCGCGTCCGTTTGTAAATTATAATAGCATCATTGTTGTAGTTATATGCGCACGCGTGACTTATGACCGAAACCCGCCATGTGCAATAAAATAATATAAATACGGTAGGTAATCATTTGTAGAAAAACGCGTATTATATTACACTATAATAATAATAATATGACACATTATTGTACGATGTAATGAAATCTTGTCGCACGCATAACATACGCGAGACGGGTCGTCGGTGGAGCTTTCATTAATAATTATTATTAAACTTATTATTATTATTATATTATTATTCGAAAACAGTGCTTGATAACATAGTTCTTATTATAATAATAAAACGAACATAACATTATATATTATATATAATATGGTATGATAAATAAATTTTGTACAAAATGTATTATGTATATATATAATTTATACATATATAGTATATATATATATAAATATATGTATATATATATTATCTACTTTAAAGTTGCTTACTTTTAAGTTCTTATACAATATATTATTATATAATCATTATCAATGATCGATAACTATATGATTAAAAATAAAAATATTGTTTCACGTTTAAAAACGCATTTGTGGTTTTATTGTTGTTTTCACAGATATTTTCCTGCTAAACATTCTCAGACAGTAGAATAAATAAAAAATTATAAAATCCTAATAAAATCATTCAGCATGCAGGTCAGACAGCTAACCTTTATTTGCTAAATGTTTATAAAGACAATGATACAATTTTTTTATTAATAATATTATACTGTTGTATTGATTCTGTTAATCTGCAAGGATATTAATTTAATCTTTGAATTAATTAAGTTTTGGTGAAAACTAATAAATATACCCAATACTATAAAATAGGGTTCTATCTCCGACATACCACTTTTAATGTAGTGGTATCAAAAGTTTTATCGAATCTAATCATTTTAAAGTTTATTGCAACAACATGGTCCTATCAGTAAAACTTTTAGTTTTTCAAAACAACATTTATTATGAGAATTCAAAATATGTTTGAACTTAAATACTTAATGGTTATTAATTGAATTTAATCGTGAAAGCAATTAAATCAATCGTCGGAATAGAACTTTCTTGGTGCTTTCCGTTGAGGTGTATTTTCATTCTATAATAAGTGTGTTAAAGTTAAACAAGATTAACTAAAAAAGCAGACATTTTAAAAGAATGCTCTCTGTAGACCGTAATATCATTTTTAACTCGGTACACATATTACATAATACTTTGACCTAAGTAAAGTGTAATAGTAACGTAATTTAAAATACTTTAAAATGAAAATTAGAAACAATAAAATGTTTTGATATATTTTAAACTATTTTCCTAATGATACCGAATACAATATTGATTACAACAGTCACGTTATCGTGAAACTTTTACAAAAACATCTCAATAGTCTACGCACTTCAAATAATAACCTAGACACTTTTACACATATTACTGGATAATATGACTTCCAGCACACAAGACCTATCTATAAGATATTGGAATATGTACAATAGACGTTTCGTATTATAATTTATAGCGATAGCTGTGGTCAGAATTGCTTTACATATAATTTATACGTTTGATGTTTGAATAACTATAAACTTTATTGTTTAAAAATCTATTAAAATGTACTCAATTAAAAATAAAATACATTTAAGCTGCACATGTCAGAGATTCAAGATTCACAGTTTTTATCAGACTTCTATTAGTTTAGTGATAAAATAGTGAATACGACCGTGACGGCATTGCATGTCGACTAATTAATTCAACTCGTTAATAAAGATTAAATTAAGTAAAGAGGAAGTAATCTTGACTTTAAAATAAACTTATTACAATAATTACTCACATAAATAATTTTTAAAAAAATACCAAATAAAAATAAACACAACTGTATTATAGATTTTTGAATAACAGGACAAACATAGAAAATAATATGATCACAAAAGTACACAACATAATTATAAGTACCGCTGTAAATTTGAATACTATTCTCCATGTTTCAAAAAAAAATTAAAATACTTATATCATATTTTATTTATATAATGTATTTTTTTTTTATTATTAAAAGAATAATTACTAGCTATACATAATTTTGTACAATAAATAATTTTTTTGAGTGAAATATCGGTGAATATAACAGAGAGGGTATATTATACGTACCTACGTAATGTATAATATAATATAGGTACCTACTATGATTGATACATCAGATTAGGTATTATATTTAATTACTACAAGGTAAAATAAAATATATTCTTTCACAATTACAGAATCTTAAAATTACCACATTATCAATAATTATTTAGGTGAGTAACATAGGTATTTATAGTTTAAAAAATATATTGTCCACTATTCCACTATTACTTGGAGTATAATAAATGTATATTTCAAATACATCAAGTATGCTGAAAGAAAATTTTTTTCCAGGCTTTTACTCAAAACACTTTGTTACGATGGTAAGTACTATAAATACAGCAAGACTTATAAGCAGACTTATACGATTCATTTATATCGTATATACAGTAGGTCATATAGTAACTACTTTAACGGAGTATAAACATATAATATGGTTAAAAACACAATTGATAGTCAACGAATTTGAAAAAAAGATCTTAAAATCTAAATGTAATTCAATCATAATTTATTATTTTATTACTATGGTAACCAAACAAAAGAGTTTGTTAACTTGTAACAATACAGTTGTGCAAAACTTGTAACATCTGTATTTTTGCACAATGTTTAGTAAAAACAAGAACCGTTATTTTTCTAAATAATTTATGCCTTAAAAATTCTTCGTTTTAATTGAAAATATACCTATAATAACTGTTTATTATTATTTCAGGTAGAAAATAGTCAACTGTTGCAGTCACCATCGAGTTATATTTTTTTTTTTTTTTAAAGTAAAGTCTTGTTTCTTATTATAATTACACAACCCATTACATTTATTTCTAGTAAAAAAAAAAAACAATATCCGTTTACTCTGGAAACGATGTTATATGGATTTTAATTTTGACAAAAATAGTAACTAACATTTAGTTATTATTAGCTTTTATTGACATTTTGTAAATTATACAAATAAAATTTTTAATTAAAATTGATCGTAAAAGACATAATAAATCTACGCTCAAGAATATTTTTTATCTTCTATATTTGTTTAGTCATAAAAGTTAATACGTTCTAAAAGGTTTCTAATGTCTGAATTTGGGTGATCCCGTGTCCATGCAATAATATCATTATACAGTTTTAATCATTTTGATACCGTTAACAATATTGTCGATATTGCAACGGTCATATCCATAATTTTGGGCCTTCGTAAAATAATTATAATAACATTAGCTACTGTAATACCGGCTGACGTACGGTGAATTCACTGCAGAGAGTCTGTATTTCGACAAAAATCTAATAAAATAGCGATTCTCCAATGTACACAGGTACCTCGTATATTGTGTATTTCCATACCAGAACAAAAAATTGTGTTACAGATAGTGTAAAACTGTAAAACAATTTTAGTATAATCGTCAAATGAATGTTATAATAACAAATAACAAATATCAACAGTAGACAAAGCTGGCTAGTGCGTTATATAATAAAAACGCATTGTTTTATAACTCCACCTGTTTATAAAATAGGTAAAATCGTCTTTGTTATTTCGAGATCATGATCGTTTTCCCAGTTATAAATTGTAAAAAATAATATAATTGTTTACCGTTTTATATTTGTTCTTAGGTATACTTACAACATCGGATTTTCAACAAAAGACATCGTCGGCGGTGGGACTTTCACTAAGTGTGCCAGCAATCGGAGGGGTACAATTTCCACTATGTTTCGTGTCGAGATTTTAACACCCACACATATTATAACATTATATACTTAATGTATATATAATATGTATGGTTTGTCCGACGATTGCGACCTGACCATATTATATTATTATAATTTAAGTGACGAGTTTATTAGTATTTGCGAGGCCGTTACGTGCCGCTATGCCGTATAAACAAGAGTGATATTCTGCAAAATTGTTTTGTAAAAAATTCGGGCTGCTCTGCACTATCTCGCGAAATTTCAAAAACAACGACAGGCCGGACTAAATCGTACGACCAGGCCGTATCAGATGTCATGGCGTTATCTACGTGGCAATAAGATAAGAAAATATAACGACCACCGAAGTGTGGCCATAAATAGTCTGCCGTACACGTCAGCCGGGACACAATACGTTGGAACGCAGTCAGGTCAGACACGAATTACGTTTCGAGCCGAAAGAAAAACAACGCGATTAATACAGCCGAGCCGAACGACGGAGACGCGCAATCGACACAAACGATAATATTATTATAATATCATCGCATCATCGTTACATTTGATCGGATCATCGACCGCTACCAATTCAACGATATGACGACGAGCAGTCACTGTGGCCGCCGTGCCGTCGCGTGCGCACTGGTGGCCATCGCGGCCGCCGCGGTGTCTGTGGCTGGCAAACCGTACACGAGTTACACGCAGGACGATTACGCGAGAGCGGTGCTCGCGCAGTACTTCCCCGGGGCTGCGTCATCGAAGGTGATCGAACTCACTCCAACCGAGCTCCCCGAACCTACTTCTTTCCGGTCTAGCAGATCCGACGACCGCTGGGCCGTCAAATCACCACCACTGGTCGGCCACGGCCACCCGGACGGTCCGCAGGCCGTGTCGGTGGTGGCTGTACCGTGCAAGGCGGCCGTCGCCGACCGGTCGCATGCCAACGACACGTCGTCGGCGGTCACCGTCGAGAAGCTGTCCGCGTTCTACGAACAGCTGAAGAGTCAACAGGAGACTCTGGCCCGGCAACAGTTCCAGCAGCAACTGTACGAGCAGCAACAGCGCCGGCAGCAAGAGTTCGCGCTCATGCAGCAGCAGATTCAACAGCAGTACTACCAACAGCAGCAGCACGCCATGTTCATGTTGGACCAAATGCGCAGAAATCCGGCGTTCGTCGGTCAGCTGGCGGCGTTTGTCAACCACACGCCGACTTTTAACGCCTACAACGGGACCTCTGTGGCATTGGCTCTACCGAAAGCTCATCCGGAAGTCGCAGCCCACGACTGTGCCGAAAAACCACCGGCGAAGCAGGAGAAGGACCAAACCATTGGTAACCATATGGTCATCGAACAGGACAACGATTCGGACGATTCTGGAGCCAAGCGTCTGGACGCCAGACAGGTGGCCCGGCAGAAAGTCACCTCCTCCTCCTCCTCCTCCTCCTCCTCCTCAGACAAACACAAACCGGTGACGTACGATGAAGATAACGAAAATGACGAATACGATCCTCCAGCCTCGTTCGAAGATGATCAAAGCCCTCCGAAACTGGAGAAGGTCTACAGCAGCATGGCCAACGAGTGAGGCGAGGACACTACAATTATGGTTCATATACACTTATAATATAGGCCTTTTATATTACAATTAAATTAGGTGTTTCAATACACATTATTATACTTAACACAACTATTAGCATAAATTAATTAAATTATTTCGATTTAATATTAATAGTGATCGCATTTTTCCATTGTATTGTTATTATTAATTTTAGTAGCTCTAAATTACGCAACTCTCATATTATAAGTACAGTTCAGCCTGATATACTGTAGGTGACGTGGATTTTTAAACATTGTAAAAATATTTGCTTTTAAGGCTATTTCGTTAAGCATACCTATTGTATCTATTATTTATTATATTATTATTTAAACATATTTAGCTTCTCAAATAGACTCAAATATTGAAATATGTTATCAAAATAAAATAATAAAATAATTTTGTTTACCCTTGTAAAATATAATAAAATTATTATAAATAATGTGTATATTTTTATTTAATTTAAGATAAAATGTTTTATACAACCGAGTACCTACACTATATTATAATACGAATTTAAAATGCACTTACGTAATCTGCGGGTGCCAATATGGGTTTTGAATTTTTTTAAATATAAATATAAATTAATTCATATTGTGTATTGAATTTGTTTTTATATATAATGAAGGGATTTTTAATATTTCATTGAAATATAAATGACAGTAAAACGTAAATATTAAACTATCGAGATATTGTTTGTGTTATAATATAATGGCATAAAAGTTGTAGAATTGGAACTTCCGGAAATTCGTGGAAACGGGAATTTTCCTAGAAATTCCTTGGAGGTTCAAAGGAACAAAAAAAATTAAAACTGAATGTTTTAATAAGTTATTTTTTTAATAATAGGTATATATATATATATATACTTTAGGGTTTTAAGTTAAATTATATTTAAAAAAAATGTTTATTAAAATAGAGAAACTATGTTCATGCCAAAATATATATTAGCCTGCAAAGTGCAAATCAAGTAGGTACTTAAATGTGAATCGTTTCAATGGTATAATATAATGTAAATATTTTTTTTGAACTAAGTTGCGAGTCTCTATTACTGTTTCTTGTATAATTTTTATGACATATAGTAATTGCAAAACTTATATTATGTCATTGTTGTACGAGTCGTATAAACACTGTATAACTGTTATTATATAACATAACCGTTGTGATAAGCATCAATGGTGGGCAAGTTGATGAAAATAATTAACTGTGGCAAGTTAAGTTAATTTATTTAAATTGCCTTCAGTTAAGTTAAAAGTTAACAAAGAAAAAAAATGTAACTAGATAAGTTTAAAGTTAAGATAGAAAATAAAATTAACTTATCTCAGTTAAAAAAAGTTAATTTTTTAGAAGGTACAATATTTTTAAATCATAAGCTATCGTAGTATTTTGTTATACACAAACATTTACCAAGACATTGAACACTGTGTAAAAAATTTGATTATTATAATATATTATTCGAAAATAAATTACCAAAATCGTAAAAGAGTCGACGAATCAGTATTGCCTAGTTGATTACGCATGACTCGAAAAGAAAATTAACTGAACTGCACGACAATGATAATTAACTATAAATAGTTAAGTTACAACAGTAAAAATATTAACTGAATAAGTAAATAAGTTAAAAACAAAAATAATTAACTAGTTAGGTAAGTTGATGCCCACCTTTGTTAGTTATAAATTATAGTTAACTATGAATTTTTCACTCGTCTCTCGTTTTACTTTAATATTAATATTCATACCAACATCTTAAGCTGTACATATAATATCGTAATATATATTATATTCTTTGACTGAACAGTTATTTAAATATTGAACTGTATAAAAAAAAAAAAAAATGTTTATTTTGATTTTTCATTTATTAGTTAATTATGTATTTATAAATTTCAATCAAAAATATTAATATCTAATTGAAATACTCCATAACATAACATACTGATTAATAAATACATAGTACACTAAACATCCATTTTTCAATATACCCGGGAGTAGTATGAATTAACTGCCAGCTGTGTACCTATAACAGGTACTCATATCATTAATATTGTAATGGTAATTTATAAAATAGATTATTATTGAATCGTAGAGATTCCTAATGAAGTTCTCTTTTTTTATAAGTTTTGCAACAGACGTAACTGCGAAAATAGTACCTGGCCTAGGAATATTATATTTTTATTATTTTTACTAATACAATTGATTGCACGATAAATTAATGACAATCGTAATTTTAATTGTATCATAGTATTAGTATTTGGTATTAACATATTCATTAAATATTAATAAATGCAAATAATTAGGTATATTATGTAAATTTACCTAAATAAACTTTTTAAGTTTTTATCTTTAGTCAATATAATTATTTAAAACTCATACTGTTGTGCAATCAGTATGTAATTTGTAAAAAAAAAACCTATATATACTATACAAAGCATTACAATTATTTGTTTAATTTGTTTGTACACACAATTTCAACAGTTTTATGTAACAAATACCCACCTGCAGCCTAATAATGGTTTTCATTTTTCCAAATGTAAGCATATTATATTATATCGTTATAAACGATTACTAACATCACATTTATTGTAAAGTAATACGACAAAAATTTATTTGACGATACCTAACTATTTTATCATAAGTAACGTATTCTGACTGCTGAGTATTAATTGTTATGCGTATACTTTTGTTTAATTAAAAAAACGTATAGGTATATTGTATTTCGTCATTTTATAAACCCGTGCTTTGTCGGTTTCCATTGTCTTCACGACGATTGTTTTCGCAAAAACGCAAAAAATAGTGTACATCGGGATTACCCACACCTGCACCTACACGGAGGAATGCAACTTGTAATTCGTCAACTAGAAGTAGTTGTAAAATTCCCTCATGAAATTATTCGAAAAAAAAATCTTAAGTCCCTCTAGTTGTACAGTTATTGCAAATTACTGTCCGACAGTCGAAGTAATGTTTACTGTTTCGCACAAAGCTATGCGAAACATTTGCAGTCGATCATCGATTTGTATACATAATAATTTATTGTCATTCGGTTTGTTATTATTTAACATCGACCTGGTCTACTTTCGGCGTCTAATTATTAGTGTACAATACAATATAGTTACCTATAACCTAGTATCGTATTATACCGTTTCGTAATTTATTCGCGTCCGTGTTGAATGTTTAGCTTAGGGACCGAATGAAAGGACGTTGCAAAACGGTTTCCCGTCGGTCAGCACATATTTTATTTTGTTTACGTCGGCGCTCGACCGTCTTGCCGTGTATATATCACAGGTGTCCGGACACTCGGGACACAATATACCGACATCGATCGCAAGACGGGCCGCCAATTGTCCGCAAACACCTAACGTAACCCAACCCAACATGAAGTGCGTTATTGTCGCAGCGTTGCTCGTAGTGGCGGCAACGGTCGTCGGCGCCTCGTCGGTGCGCGTCAAGAAGGACGTCGGGTCGAAGAACAGCAACGAACAGTGCGTGTACGCGGACGTGACGAAGACAGGCAGGAAGACGATTGTCTGCGGCGATCCGGCACCACCCACGCTGGGCGAAGTCTTGGCCAGTCGTCAGCTGCAGCGACAGTCGACGACCGCCGAGGCCAGGGTCCCATCGGAAAAGTGTTTTGGCAGTCTGCACAAACCCACAAACGGGCCGGTGTCCGTGTACGTACAACCGCAGTCCGTGCTGCACCAACAACAGCCGCAATACGAACAGTTGCACGTGTTGCACCATCAGGTGCCTCAGGTGCAGTACGTGCAGCAGCAACAGCCTCTGGTTCACTACCAGCCGACGGTCGTCTACCAGAAACCGGTGGCACATGTGGTACCTTACAAGTCTCCGTGTTCGCAATATGGTGGTTACTCGGACGGCGGTTGCTCTGGTGGCAATTACTTGGGTGGAGGTTACCTGGGAGGTGGTTATCGCATGGCCGACGAACCATATCCCATGGCGGTACTGACGAGGACAGTAGATGATGCCGACGACGGCGTATACGGAGATGACAACGTGCAACCGATGACGCAGAACTACATGGAGGCGGGACCGTACGAAGACACGTTGGCCCGCAAAGGTTTCGGTGGCGGCCGTCCTAGAACAGTGCCGATGCGACCCATGTTCGTGCCGGCGATGGTGAGGTCGGCGGAACCGTACGGATACGAAGACGGCGCTGCCCCGGAATGGCAGCCGCAGCAGAGGTTCGTCTCGGAACCGGAGTTCCAGTTCCCGGGCCCGTTCCCACAGCAACAGTTGGCCGGACGGTCGATGGCTGCAGCTGTGGCGGAGGGTCCGTTCGACAGACGACAGCTCGCGTTCAGTGGTTACATGCCCGTGAGGCCCGAGACGATTATGTCGATTCCAGACCGGTACAACTACGGCGGATACTCGAGAACAGCCGGACAGCAACAGCAGCAAATACCACAACAACAACTGCAACAGCAGCAACTATTACAACAACAACTGCAACAACAACAACTGCAACAGCAACAACAGCAACTGCAGCAGCAGCAAATACAACAACAACAACAACTGCAGCAGCAGCAAATACAACAACAGCAACAACCCCCGCAGGTCGTCGAACCGGTCCAGCAGCTGCCCGGTGGAGAGGTGGACGGAGCTTTGGCGGCGGTGCCCGCAAAGGCCGAACCGAAAGATTTGAAATCGGCCAAGAAAATCACGAAAAACTAAACTCCACGATATGGTTAGTCAGTAAATAATATTTCAAAATGGTTTTCCGTGTTAAGATTTTTCGCGTAACGGAAGTAACACACCGTATTTTATTATACGCGTTAATGACCGACAGCGGCCACGACTTTTTTAAGATATATATTTAATATGAGATTCTAACATTGTTTTTTTCACTCGGTGTTTCGATACTATAATTATTGTAATATCTTTGTATAATATTATTATAGTCTGATAAAACTAACGTTTCATGAAAAAAAAAATGTTATAATAATTATTATCAGCGATGACTTGTTTGTATATTATTATAATAATTATTTGTCCATCGACATTAATTCACCTGTAGTTATTATTTTATACATATTTCCTGAACGTATCTATAACTATTTTAGGTTTACTATCATCTGTACCTATATGGCAAATCAGGCTTAATACTTAAAACATGACTTATAAAATCAATGTGTAACAGTAACAGCGTGTACAATTATAGTCGAATATAAAGTGACTCTCTGAAACTCTAACACAGATACTGTATATTATAATAGAGACTCTTAATATTATAATAAACTATAAATTCAAAAATATTTCAGTGAATTATTAAAAAAAAATAAAAATAGCGGTGAAACAAATTAAACATTATAAAAATGGTGTTATATTTTGTGTACAATAAAATATACCAGATATTCTCAATATTTATGTACTCTACATGATGGAAATAAATATAAATATATATATAAAATAAACACATAATCTATGTATATAAAAATGGAGCGTGAAAAATTGTCGTTACCTCATCAATTGAGAACGGCTGGTCCGATTTAGCTCAAATGTTTTTTTGAAGATGTTCGTAATTGGCAGGAGAAGGTTTTTACGAAAGAAAATATTAGGAAAATCTACCAGAAAAGTAAGAAATCTGGATGTAAAATATACAACAGTGTATTATATTATATTGGTATGTATATTATAATCGGGTATGTTTGTTGATTTGTTTTATTATTGTTGTCAATAAATATTTATATATAGTCAACTTATAATCCAACCGTTTAGAAGGAGGTCAGTCACAACACACATACAGTACAATTATATATATAAAGATAAATATATATAAATGAATGTTTGTATGTAGATATTAGACCTCATGAAGAAGACAGCCAATTTAAAAATGGTTATATTTTTTTTTATTTATTCATCTGATATTAGTACGGTTAGGTTAGGTTAGGATTTTGTATTAATTGATTATATTTCCACAATAGGTGGTATACGACAAACATGGTATAACTTTGATACTTTAGAATTAAATCATACACTTACGTACAAACAGCACGGGGTCCGCGATGTACCACCGGTAGATTTAATAGGTACCTGATAATATACTGTTGAGGATCAGAATTTTTATTCCGGGAAACGGAAAAGTTAAGATAAATTTTGAACACCATACACCGAATATTAAATAATGAATTCAACAAAGTTTGAATCATATAGAGTTGGTACATTTAACGGGCAACGAAGTGCACGAGATCAGATAGTATAATATATAATCGACTAGGTAACTGTATTGGGATAACACTATAACAGGTAAGGTACAACAGAATTAATTTAAATTTATATTTATGCAGTCTATGCCGTTATAGTTTACGTGTAACATGACACATGTAAACAAACATTTGCGACAAAATCCGGTACTCAAAATACCCTTGGGATGACCAAATCTGAGGGGGGAGATACAGTCAAGAGGGATGTCGAAAAATTAGAAAGCGGACCAAACTAGAAGGCTTTAGCAATGGACAGAGATAGCTGGAGAATTGGTTTCAAGACGGGATGGTCCTAGTGGCTGGATAAACCCGCTTCCCCCCAAAAAAATATTAAATAAATACTATGACTTATAAAAATTTTAGTGGTTGGCTAAAAATAAAATAACAACACTTTTTCAAAATACACCACCTGTGATTGCAAAACAGCTTGCGACACCAATCAACTTGTAACATAGCAATTGACCTAGTCAGGTCATCGGAAGTGGTCCCAAACTGCCAAATCTCAATCATTCCACCACACTTTCCGTCATAAACTACTACAAACATGTTAGTACCTAGTGGTAGCGCCTTGAGAGCTTAAATTGTAAAATTAACTGAACAATCGTTAGCAACGATAATTCGCATGCGAATACCACTGAAGTCGACGGTGTTCCAGAGTTAAATATTATTTTTTAACTCTTTTTGAACTATTTATAGGCACAAGAAATGTTCACGTTATTATAACTATATATAAAATAAATTACTTTAATACCAATAATTTCATAAAAATATACCTATAGATACTTATAGTTGGCTGCACAACAATAATTTCGCTTCGAGAATCGTTTTTTGTACACAATTATTTTATATCACTGAATATGTAATCCACATGATACCTAATATATTCAGCATTTTGCCCAACTCTTTTTTTTTAATAAATGAACATAACCTATATTGAATTTATATAATTAATTTATGAATACAATGTTTAAATGAAATGAATTTATTTCATAATAAGCATTTCGTTGATCCAAAACTATTGTGCGATACCCTATGTGCCCCTGTCACTATTGCATAATGTGAGTATTATTCACACTATTGTGATTTACACATTTTTATATCGCACTCGCTCTGTCATATTGACGCTGTCTGGCCAACCCACGTTTAAAATATTCCTATGACGTGAACTCCAGACAATATAGTAGTGCGATCTATTGGAGTTGTGTTGAACTATTTTGAGCTTTTGCGATGTAACAACCCTGAATGCGCTCTTGTATTAGTTTTTACATTATTTTCAGATTTCTTACTTAGTCCAACCACAGTCGTGGTACACGATAATATGTTACACTATTCGATGTGAATGAATGATACGAACTCCGCAGAATCTTAAGTTTCAAACCTAAAAATTCCATCTTTAATGAAATATTCAAATATATTCAAAACCAAATAGGTATTTGTTTATTTATTTTGTAATAATATGTTTCATGGAGTCATAACTAAAAACTAAAAGGGCACACCGACTAATAATAACTTTTAAGTTCCAACTGTTTAAAATATAACTAACTGTTATATACTCCAGTCTCCAAGAAAATGTATTTTATTTTATTTTAAAGTATTCTATATTTCTATTCATTTAAAATTTTGATTTTATTCTAATTTAAGTACAATAGGTACTATAATATAATTTTCAATGTTATTATGTAGGTACTAAAATTTAAAATAGTTATAAAATAACTATGAAAATATTGAAGTATGACATTTGGGATGTTTTAAAAACTGACAATTATATTCCGTGGTCAGTGTTGTGCATTATCTTGTTAAAAATAATAAATTGTAAGTACCTATATTTTTAGTTAAATAAAATGTTTACCATAGATGAATCAAATAGAAATTTTTTTTGTGAATTTTATTTTTATGTAATAATACATTTTAGTTCATATACACATATTTACAAACATTTTTTTTTTTTAAATGATTATCTTGGATTTGTAACTGTTTAAATTAAATATTATTTGACATATTAGTATATTGTATGTAGTGTTTGAAGTATGAAATATTTCCCAAAAATGTGAAACATTAAAATTTTCTTTAACACTAATATAAACACAATTTTTGGGAGTTATAGGAGACCAGTGTCGTATTCTCCTCATTCTCCCCTTCTACTCGCGACTTACCTGCGGTTATATTATGTACAACATAATAATTGAATATTTACATTTTTTGTTTAAACTGCATTTAAACCAAAATACGTACATCGCCTATATCGTACTTTAGTGGTCTCACTACATAATATTTTATACACTCTCCTTGTAGACAATTTGGACGGTCCGCGGTGCCACTAGTTGCTTACGCTTCGCGTCGAACGTGCCTTTAATAATAGGTATCTCTAGACTCCAATCAGCGTTTCTTGAAAATTGACGTGAACTTTTCATTGAAATTTCATGAACTATGATAATAATATGATAACAAAACATCGAATTACCCTTTTTTCCAACGCTTTATTATAACATCAACATCATAGTATACTATTGTTTATCAAGCTCCCACGACATTCACTCGATCTTCCTCTCCCGACCCTACACAAGCACGGACGCGACCACCCGACTTCGCTACAGCATATAATACGCTACTTGACCGCAGTCTCCACATAATACATATTATATAATATACGATATGTATATAATGTACATCAAGTATACATAATAGTTGGTGCGCAATAGTCGGTGCCCGGAGCAAAACGACCGGGACGGACGTAATTCGATTCGGGTGGAATAACTGTTGTACGTGTATATGCATCACGTCAAAGGGTATACGACGAATCTCCGGGGACGAAAAAGGGTTACGACGGCCGTGATACAATATAATAATATAGTACAGACAGCAGCAGCAGCCGTAAGTGTATTATTATAAAAAATGTTGGGAAATTATCTGGCATTGCAAGTGCACGCAAAAGACTTATGCGCATATTAGTGGAGGTAGCAAATTTTTTTCTATCTGGAAAAAAGCGATGAAATGACATGAATCGAATTGTAGTACTAGCCTGGAAAAAGCACGTGTTTTCCAATCTTTTCTCTGGGCTTTGTTACGCTTCTACGAGCGTTTCCGAGATAATTATTTGCCAATTTTCTCGATACGACCACGGTCGATCGTCATAATATAACTGACATACACGACCCCCCCCCCCCTCCCCCCAATACTAATGGACTTCAGAGTACAAGATTAATTTATCGATTTATCTGTTTATTTTATTAGCAAATTAACTATATGAGGTATCAGCTATTATAATAAATGACTAAATGATGAAACGTTTAAGAATAACCTAATAACATTTGTTTAAGGGGATTCGATCCAGCGTATTTATTTCATGATTTAGACCTAAAAGCCTGACAAAAATACGCCTACTTAGAATTATCAGATTTCAATTCTGTAAAAAGATTCGAGTTCATTGACAATTTTCCTAGGTTATTGTGGGAATCAATTTTCGATATTTTT